GTTGATCAATGCTCCAATGAAAGTACCCTAATTTCCGGTAGATAAGCCCGCGCCGATATCACGTAAAAACACCTCCGCTGGTGCAGTGCACTTGCGTACATCTAGAGACAACCGTAACTTGCCCATAGGGGTAATTCGATATGCTGACGAAAACGACATTCATTTTTAGCGGTGGCGCCATCTGGCGCCAGTTGGCGTCACCTTGTCACGACCCTTGTTTCACCAAAATCGGTGTAAACTTCTGTATAGGGGTTATTTGGTGCCCTGATTACGAATATGACATTCGTTTTTGGCATCAACGCATATTTCTCGGTTGGAGAGCGGACGAGCAGAAAATAGCGCCAAATAGCGCCAGATGAATGTCATATTCGTAATCAGGACACCAAATAACCCCTATACGGAAGTTTACACCAAATTTGGTGAAAACAGGTGTCGTGACAAGGTGACGCCAACTGGCGCCAGATGGCGCCACCGCCAAAAATGAAAGTCATTTTCGTAATCAGGATATCGATTACCTTTACCTCTATTGCGCTGTAAAATTTTTAGCCTATAATTGACGGGAGATATTTTGTAGCCACCGTGTAAAACATTTTCGCGCGCGGTGATGATCTCAAGCGAGCATCCTCTCAACCATAAAAAGAATCTCATTTGTACTGCAGGAAACCCAGCGCCCTGCCACCGCGCTGTCAACGGGGAAGACAGAGTAAACTTACCTTGAAGTTCTCGGCCTTTTCCAACATAGGAATGATCAGGCGATACATCGGTCCGATAGCTTCGTACCGCTCAGCCAAAGTGAGCGCACCCGCAGTTTTTTCAACTTTAGCTGCCAGACTTTCCTGAAAAAAAAAGCATTTTTCCGTAGTATAGTTTACAAGATTTGATGCTTCCGAAAGCATACCCTTTCTGCCGAGCCATAACAACAGAAATGCTGCAAGATAACTAGATATGGTTGCTGCCGGTACGGCACGAGTTACAGTTTGTGGGAGCTTGGGATACGCCACAACGTCGGAATCCGACATGTCAAAATTTTCGCTGATGAATTATTGTTTTATTTCGAAGAAATTTTAATCTTCATGACACCTTGCTTACTGGCAGAAATCATGGAACTGATAAGAAGGATAGGATCGTTTTTCGTACTCATTACCCCTTCTGAGATGAAATTTTGCAATCGGTGTCACCTGAGGTACAGCGCCCATTTTTTCGAAAAAGCTTCTATCGTTCAGAGAGGAATATTCTGAAAGTGATACGACTGTGGGTAAAAAACATCTCGAGGATTCTGTATGGAACGTTTAACATGACTGTGAAGTACGGCTAACAAAGAACGATGACCAGACTGGACGTGCAGCGCCAATGTTTCCAAAATTTTAGCTGGGTTTCATTGGAAGACATGCTCAAATTACGTCAATTTAGCGATCTGTTATTGAAAGTGATGGCTGGTTCTTCAGAAGTTCAGTAGTAGTGCTCTTCTAAATGCAATACTGCAGAATTTCTGAAGAACTCAACAAAGCCTAAGCCAAAATATCCCTTACTGGGACCCTGCGTGGGACAAACTCTTATTTCCCACACAACAAGACTCATTCTTGGCCACAACCATGTACATAATGACTATAATCCGCACTTCCAAATCTAAATCATATGTACGGAGAACAAACCAGTGTGAAGCCAGCCGACTGAACGCTCCCATCAACCTCTATGGCTCCTTCTTCCTTAACAACCGATGAGCTGATCCACTCGAACGCAGTCCAGTCAATCTTGCAGAGACCTGTAGAGCGAACGCGAATTGAAAGCATGGAAACCTCTCATGGATCAATAAACCGATGGAACCAGACAAAATATATCACTTGAAAAGACTTACCCCTTGCTGCCAGTTCCTTGGCAATGATTGCTAGGGAATGGGCATGGCAAACCGCGGCTTCTGCATGCCAGTTCTCTGTATAAGCATAGAAGTTGATAGAAAAAGGAAATGGTGTGCATTCCAAGTATATGTAATCTTCAAACTGATAAATAATATAAAATCCTCACCGGCTGTATGAAGATCGGCTAATGCGTCAAACCAAGCACTTCTTAGGGCAGCAGATCCGCGATAGCTATCCGCTAGTTGTATATGCAAGTCTGCTAACCGTATCTGAAACAACAACTTCCGCGAAAACTTATTCGAGATTTCACAAGTGGTAGTAGCAGTAGTGTTCAAGGGTAGAAAGACAGATAAGAAGAGAGAGTATTCTTCGGAAAAAAACGAACGTTATACCTTATTATGTCCTTCAAGCATTATATAAAATTTCACAGGTCAATATTTGCAGAATGGAACTAAACATCCTCAGGGGGTAGGAAGGAAGGTCCCACAAGCGAGTCCGTTGCAGTACTCCTCCTGAGGTCAGGTCAGCTCAGAAGAGGACATCTTTGTTCGCTCGTAATAATCCTAGGACTAAGCATAAGCTGTACACTACCCAGAGAGTAATCACGTGTCTAAACCTGAGCTCATTCCTGAGCTTGACCTTAGATTTAAATCATCGCGCAGCTCTGAGACCTTGACCTAGGAGGAGAACCGAACGTCTCGCCTCATAAGTGGAGAGGAACATCACCCTAAAATCGATATTCAGGCGTCATGTCTGCTACAAGTTGCTTTGAATGATGCTGCGAATGATCCAGTATGTTTCAATTTCCACTTGATTTCTGTGTTAAGCTATCTGTACTTCTGGCATATTTTTCGCTTTAATTCTCTGTTGCTACATTTGCGCAGTTGGTAGAAGTGCATTAAATATAGATCAGGGTGATGTTCCTCTTCGCTTGTGGGGCGAGCCAGTTCTCCTTAGGTAAGGTTCCAGAGCTGCGCGATGATTTAAGCCTAAGGCCAGGCTTGGTGCTTGAGCTCACAAGGGAAGGATGGTAGGTCGAAGTGGCCGTATAAAATGAGATGTATACCACCTGATGCGTCTCCAGACGCTGATTCCAAATCTGCCTTCCAAATCTGCTAAACGGCTCTCCGAACGGAGTTATGAAGCGTAATAGCTCAGTGGTGATGGTCCGGGGTGGCAGGTAAAAGCTCGTAGGATCGGTTCCTTTGCAAGTTTGTTGCTTTGCTTTTGTCCGCAACACTTCTAGAGACAAAAGCAAAAGCAACAAACTCGCAAAGGAACCGATCCTACGAGCTCCTACCTGCCAAAGCGGACTATCACCACTGAGCTATCACGCTTCATAACTCCGTTCGAGTCGTTTAGCAGATTTGGAAGGCAGAATTGTAATCAGCGTCTGGAGAACTGCATTCAGTGATACATCCATTTTGAACGGCCACTGTCGACCTCCATCCTTCCCTTTGTTCACCACTAGAATATTATGATTAACATGTTAGCTGAACCAGGGTCAACCGTCCGTTGGACAAAGTCCAACGCGACGACGAGAGTAATGCCGAGAGTGAACGTACGCACGGAGACACAGACGGCTCGCGGGTGGCGAGAGTGAATGCCGGCGCGGAGAGCGGTCGGTCCAATCGCTCCAATATCGGTCCAACGTAACGGTTGACCCTGACTGCAAATATAGTTAGACTTTGGGCTCAGAGTCACCCTTTTCCGTTGCGCAGTTCTCAACGGCCACGTTGCGCAGTTTCGCCCGATTAGACACGTTCTCTCGCGCGAACATTCACACTCGCATGCTCGAGCCGTCTGCGTCTCCGCCCATACAGCGTGCGTTGAGGATCTCTCAACGTGCCGTTGCGAACTGCGCAACGCAGGGTTGACTCTGCTTGGGCTTAGCCCAAGGATTATTACGAGAAAATAAGAGGTGTCTTTTTTCTAAGCTGACCTGACCTCAGGAGGTTGAGAACTGCAACGCACGTGCTCCTCTTTTCCTCAATAAATACCTCGTTCACGCACTGCGCGTATTGACGGTTGAATGTATAGCGAACATGCCGCGAAGGAGATAATTGGGAATAATGTTCGGCTTCTTTTCTTTTCTTTTTTTTTCCGAAGAAACTTTCTTCTTCTCTAACTCTCTACCTCTCTACCGCTACTGCTACTACCTTTTGTGAAGTCTCGAATAAGTTAATTAATAATTGAAGTTTAGGTAATAAGTTGAAGTTCTCGTTTCAGATCCGGGTTAGCAGACTGCATATACAATTAGCAGACAGCTATAGTGGTATGCCTGCCTTAAGAAGTGTCTTTGGTTTTGAGACGCATTAGCCGATCTTCATACAGCTGGTGAGAAGTTGATATCTTTTGTTAGTGTGAAGAATTACATATGCTTGGAAAGCACATCATTTTCTTTTTCTCTCATTTCTATGCTTGCATACAGAGAAAATTGGCATGCAGAAGCC